CAGAAATAGAAAAATTCATCCTAAAATTCATATGAAATCTTAAGAGAAACCAAATAGCCAAAACAATCTTGAAAAAGAACAAGGTCGGAAGTCTCACACTTCCTGACTTAAAAACTTACCACATATCTCATGAATATACATAACCAATAACAAATAAATAAATAAAATTTCAAAAAATAAAAACTTACTGGAAAGCCACAATAATCAAAACACTTCCATCACTCCAAAAAGTTCACTCTTGTCCATTGGCAGTCAGTCCCTCTCTTCATCTTAGCCCTAGGCAGCCACCGATTTGTTTTTTGTCACTGTAATTTTGCCCTGTCTAGAATTTCGTATTAATGCAATCATACAGTCTGTAGTCATTTATGCCTGGTGTTTTTCACTTAGTATGATGTTTTCAAGATTCATTCATGTCATTGCATGTGTGAGTACAGCTCATTGCTCTCTGTTGCTAGCAGTATTCTATTGTATAGATATATTACAATTTCGTTCATTCACTAGTTGATGGACATTTGGATTATTTCTAGGGTGTGTTTTTTTTAAACAGTTTCATTCTGCTGTGTCAAGGTCTTCTTTCTCTTATCTTATTTAAAAACTAATTGGAATTCTTAACTCTGTGGATTGGTGATTTTTACCAGTTGTGGAGAATTCTCTTTTCAGATATTGCTTCTGTTCCATTCTCTTTCCACTTCCAATCTAGATCTTCATTAGATGCTTATTAGACCTCTTCCTTCTATCCTCCCTGTCTCTAAATCTTTCTTACAAATTATCATTTTGTCTCTGTATTACATTCTGGATAATTTCTTTAGTATGATCTTCCAATTCACAAATTTTCTCTTCCAAACCTGCCTCTAATATTTGCGGAACCCTGGGCAAGAGTACAAATGGAAGGCCATATACCATATTGATATACTTAAAAGTTAGGACTCAAGCTAACAAAAAATTAATAAAATATAGTCCATCCTCCTATGTTGACAAAGGCCAGGTTCAAATTTAAAATTTTTGGATACCTAGGCTCTGCCCTGTAATATAGTGGCAAAGGGAGAGTTTATTTCTGAACTCTTGACCTTGGTGTTACAACACCATGTTCTAACCAACTGAGCTAACTGGCCAGCTCCTGGGATAGTTCATTTCTAATTGACATTCCAAACCCCTCACTTTCCACCCTCAGATCCATACCACACTACAAGGGACATTGTATACATTTAGACATCCAACCTACAAATCCAAATTCCTTCCATAGCTCCCACAGAGCCATTTCTTGGCCAACCCCTGAGAGTAGAGTCTAGCCTGAGGGGGACAGACCTAGGCAAGAGGTCTGCATAAGGCACTGGAAGCAGGTTTGGGGCCATTTAAGCTGGAAATTTCAGAGTCCTTTGTGTCAGGAGTGTGGTCTAAAAGGAGAGATACTCTGGACCTCATCCAGCCACAAAGAGTCTGGATAAGGATATGGCCAGTCTTTGACTTTAATTTTAACCATTCTTTGTGGCTGGATGAGGGCTAGAGCTGACTCCAAAATGCAGTGCCCAAGACTAGGCCCCTCTTGCCTGGGTGTAAGGGCAGTACTTAGTTTTCTTTAGCTAATGAAGTCACCTGTTGAGTTTTTTATTTCAGTTATTATGTTAGTAACTTCTAGAAGTTATAGTGAGTTCTTTTTTTTTGAAGGCTGGCTGGTTAAGGTGATCTAAACACTTGACCTTGGTGTTATAACAACATGCTCTAACCACCTGAGCTAACTGGCCAGCCTTTATAGTTGGTTCTTTTTCTAATATGCTGTTTTATTCACACTTTAGTTCCTCTCTTTATTTTTTCAACATGTTAATGATATTTATCTTATACTGTGTCTGATAATTCTAAAACTTAAGTCTGTGGGTCTTATTCTGCTTTCTGTTGTTTTGTTTGGCTCTTGCTTTGGGTGCCTTGTTTCCTCATTGTGTATTGTGATTTTTTAACTCTTATTCCTTGAAATTTATCTTTGCAGAATTCTTCAAAGCCTAGGATAAGGATGGGTTCCTCTAAAAATGATACATGTTTGCTTCTCCCCAGCACTTGAGTGCATGACGAGTCTGTAATATCTTTAAACCAGATTTTCAATCTGTGCTTTTATGAACCACCCAGCTTCAGTCTTAAATCCATGTGAGCGCCCAAATGTGACTGCAAATTCTTGAGGGAGATTTGCCTCATTTCCATCCCACTCAGTGCCAAGGTTATTGAGCAATTTTCTTAGGGGAAGGGGTATGGTGGTGAATTTCTTACATCAAGGATTTACTGGGAAGTGTCCTTTTGAAATCCAGTCTAGCAGAGGGCTTGGGCTTTGTCACTTGTGCTCTGACCCTACAAGGCTGTGAAAGTTCACCAGGTTAAGGAAATGCCCTCCGATTCCCACCTTCTTTTGTCCTCACTGAAGCATGAAGAAAGGTATTTTATCTAGCATTTTTAGTAGTTTTTATTGGGAAGGTAAGTTTGTGTAACTAATCTGATTTATTACTGTAAAAGTTTTACATAATCTTAACATTTCTCTAACCCATCTGCTTTACTTAATTCAAACTGATAATGCATGAGTTCATGCACTTCTAATTTCCGGCCCCATTAAAATTCTTCCAACTGCATTCCCAGCCTCTAGTCTCTACCCTGCCTCTTCTCTCCATCTCTCATTCTCCCAAGCAAGCTGTAACAGTAAGGGTCTAAGCAAGAAACAGAATTCACCCAAGATAGTTCAAATAAAAATACTTTATCGAAAGGGCCAGTTACAGAAGAGTGCCCAGCCTCTAGTCTCTACCCTGCCTCTTCTCTCCATCTCTCATTCTCCCAAGCAAGCTGTATCAGTAAGGGTCTAAGCAAGAAACAGAATTCACCCAAGATAGTTCAAATAAAAATACTTTATCGAAAGGGCCAGTTACAGAGGAGTAAGCAGCGGTGAGGGAGCAAACAAGAGATGGTGAGACACTCAGAGACTAGCTACAGAGGAGGTGCTAAAGAGACAAAGAGAGACAATAGTTACCAAAGACCAGTTAAAACTAGAGCCATGGAAGAAGGGTCACCTGGAAGGAGCTATAGTCATAAAGGGATGAGGCTATGGCTGGAGATGTGACATCAAAGAGGAAAGGAGTGGGGAATTAATGCCCCAACTTCACTTTCTACCTGCCTTCTGATATCCTTGCCTAGGCCTCTCTTAGGTCAAACCTAACCACCAGGCAGTCCTTAAAGAAGCTGAGGTCAACCTCCAGAAGCATAGAGATTGGCAGAGAAGGGCAGGAAATGAATCTGAGGGACAAACAGAAAATAACCAGCACATTAACCTTTTTCCAGACCACTATGAAAGGTCAACTATCTAAAATGCAAAACGTATCATACCATAATCCTACTTAAAATTTGTCAGTGAATTCACATCATCTGTAGAACTAAATCTAAACTGTGTTGTGTGACTTTGCCCGTTTACGGCTTCATTCCCCAGCTCTTGTCTTAGCTTACAGGTTCTCCAGTATTCCATGCTTTCACACCTCTGTAATTGACCATATTCTTTCCTTTACCAAGGCACCTTTCTGCACCTTCTTTGCTTGGTTTTTTCTACTTAACCTTCCAGAATTAAAGGCTTAGCCCTGAAATCACCTCCTTCTGAAAGTTTTCTTTTGCAGATTGTTTCTATCACTTCCTTATTTAATCCCATCATAATATTTAGTTGAACTGAGTGCCCTGTCTTTCCCCCTTAAAAAGAGAGATGTGCATTGTAGCTCTTATATACAATACCCAGCACCGTTCTCGGCTCATGATAGGCAATTAATAACATTTTTTTCAAATGAATAAATGAAAACTAAATATTAGGAAAGAAGAAAGAAAACAAAACGTTGGTGTAGTTATATAGCTCTTTGAAATTTTAGGTTGTAGAAAAAAGTCTTAGAATTTCAAGGGTTTTCTTTCTCAAATTCATTTCTGAGATATTTATTTATTTGTGCATAGGCAGGGAAAAATAGGGAAAAGACCACATGCCCAAGGACTTAGAATTTGAATCCTAAAGGTTAATACTAGTCTTGGGCAATATGCTTCCTGTCAGTTTTCTAGAGCACAGGAAAGATATTGCTTTGGCGTTAGCTTTAATTCTTGCCAAATAATGCTTTAAATTATTTAAATAAACTTTTAAAAAATGTGTATCAACCCATACATTTTTGATGAATACATATTCCAGTAACTTTTGCTTTCTTTGTATATTAAAAATCTACCAACTATGGAAACCATTCTTGCTTGGTTTAGATTCCAATAGTATGAAATTCTCTTTCCAAAAATTCTTTAGAGAGAAAACCAAAATGCTTCCACACTGCAACAAAATATTAGAGAAAATTATTTGCTATGCCAATTAACATTTTTATGTAGATTTTTGCATAAGCCTCTATAAGGCATTTTTTCTAAAACCTAAAAAGTAGTTTTCTCCAAATGTGCAGTGTAATTCACAGGTTCATCATTGGATAATAGCCCTTCTTAAAATTCTTCTAATGTTGAATCAAAGATCTTAAGATATGGCACATACAATATTGTGAGCACTAACCAACGGACGAGAATACATTAAAGTGGAGCTTCTCATCCGAATACTGAAGGAAGAAGGCCTCTAAGTGGGAAACCAAAAGGCTACGACACACTACATATCCCAGCATACCTTGCGACGACCAGTGACCACGACTCCCAGAATGCATTGCTGGCCGTGCGCAGGTTTTCCTTCTTGCCGGGGCTTGTAGTTCTTCCAGGCTGTGTCAATTTGTACGGCGAGAGCGGTAGTTGCACATCCGGTCCGAAGATATTAGCTGTAGTTTTCCAGCTTTTGGCAAGGCTGACACATTTCGGGCCCCTGGACTAGCTGGGCTTTTTGTCTCATTTATCGGCTTCTGCTTGACAACGGGTAAGTCACGGAGGGGCTGCAATTTCCCGCAGCAGGGCCCCACCTCTTATTTCTGGGAGCGACCTCGTTCCGGTGAAGATATTTGTCCCTGGGCTCTCGCCGTAGCAGCCGCCGCCCATCCCTCTTTGTGTGCATCGGGAAACTGCGGAGCTAGTGGAGGCGACAGTTGGCGTTGGAGGCTTAAGTAAGGATCGTTACCGGGAAGTTAAGGGCGGGAGGACTCTTTCTCATCCCGCCACCTGACAGGTGGGTTGACTGTTCTTCTCCAAAGGCTCTCCTGCCTACTGTGTCCCACGTCGGGGCTCGAAGGGCGGCTGGCAGTCTCTGCTAACAGCGTCGCTCGGCCCGGCTTTAGGTAGGAGAGGCACCGGGAGCCAGGTGCGGTGACTCAGGGCGGCCCAGGGAGAGGAGTACACTCCTTTCCCTTTCTGACCCTCCAAAAACGACCAAGGGAGCCTTGAGGCTTGTCCGGCGCTCACTGGCCCCTTCCTTCGGGCGCCCTAGCATGGACAGGGGAGAAAGTGATTCCTTTTCGCCTTGTCCCACTTTACAATTGAAGATCGTTATTTCTTGCGTTGATAGTGTTTCCCCTCACCTTGTGTGTGTTGGAAAATCCCCGAACGTGAAGGTTGTAGCACAAAACTAGACTTTCTCTTCCCTGGAGTTTTAAGAAAGTGAGCATGTCAGTCATGGTCATGCTCCGGCCTCTGTGAGGATGAGACGGCCTGCCAGCTGTAGTTCAACCGGTCAAATTTTGTTGTTAGGGTTTGACTAAAACTAAAAGTGTGCTTACTTTAACTAATATCAGTTGGTATTCGTGTATCTATTTTACAGTTGACGCTGAGCAAGAAATAATGTTTAGCCTAGCATACAGAGTTATATATGGAAGTTCTCTTCAACAGCCATTAGTGTGAAGCTTTTTAGAGGTGTAGAAAGGGCGGAGTAAAAAACATATTCTCTTGTTTTCTTTTATACTTTGTTCAGATGAATCTTGGTAGATATTGTATGTATGTTTGAGGGTCTGCCATGTCAACTTTTCACCATTTTTGTATTCTTAAAAATTAGCAACTCAGTTTTTATGGAGTATCGCAGCTGAGATTTCCTTTATGCATTTATTGTAGATGGATTTTTCGTCTTGACTGACTTTATTGAGATTTAATAATTGTGCTTTTTCGGAGATGGCTTATAAATACAGTTTTCCAGACGTTATCCTACCAGTTTTCTTGATATGAAGCATTTAATACTTCGGTTGTACAGAGACATTTGAGAGAGTTTGATCATTATGTAATAAATCAATAATATGGAGAAGGTTAGGAGTTCCTGGCTCCTGCCTTATGCTCAGCCCCTAAGCTACTTTTTCAATTCAAAAAAATCCCAGTTCATTTCTTGTTTCTGAAACTGAGAATGAAGTAGTGTTTATGTAATTGTTTTTTGAAGCTTTGTTTCTAATTCTGTCTTACCCATTCATTTATCCAATATCAATTTAATGTTAAGGTTAATGTGCTGGATGCTGTGAAGGCAACAAAAATGACTGAAACACAGTTCCTGATTTCAAGTAGGTTATAGTCTAATAGGAAGCATTTCAGGTGTATTTGTAAATAATTGTACTAAAAGTGCCATAAGAGGAACAGGTAAAATGTTATTGTGGAGAAATAAAAATCATTTGATTTGATAGTTAATAATGGTAACTTTTGTGTTTTTCTTGTCTATTACCACTTCCGTGTAAATTTAGAATTTACAGGAATTTTCTGTTTGACCTCATATTGTTTTTATCAAGCTTCTAAGAATGAATGTAAACTCTGGTAATAGTGATTTGTGTAATAGCTTATGAGATTCTTAATGCCAACCCATGTCCTCTGTTTTAAGAGCCAGTTTTGACCTTTATCTCCAGTGCCTTAATATGTTGTCATCAAAAAAACATTGAGACATTGTGTTAAATTTGGGCATGTGAACATTAAAGCATTTACTATGTACTAGCTACTCTGCTCAGCTCTGGCTAATATTTATTTCTTATGTATGTTTGTTTATAATTTTTCTCAAGTCTTAGTTTTATATATATGCTTTTATTATTTTAAAAGCAAGAGTTTATATGCTTTCTTTAGATAGCATTGAACTACATGGCCTCTTGGGACAGTAATCTTCTAGGAACACTAATTTTTTTAAAAGTGTGCTGATTTTACCTATGTAATAATTATTGTAAATAATTGTATGCTACTTAAGGTCACAAACATGTCGGACAAAAGTGAATTAAAGGCTGAGTTGGAACGTAAGAAGCAGCGGTTGGCCCAAATCAGAGAGGAAAAGAAGCGAAAAGAAGAAGAAAGGAAAAAAAAAGAAGTATGTTTGATTTTGAAAAATAAACAACATAATATAGTTGGGTTTTATTTCAAGTACTTATACCTTTATGTAATAATTTTGGAATAGTTAAAAATCGAGCAGTTGTGACTGCAAATATGGCACAGTAAGTGAATCTTAATTGGTAAATTAAAATATAACTTATTTTTTACTGAATAAAAATATTTCGTATAGATTGATGCCATTTCTATGATTTGATTTATAAAAGTTCAATTTACATATTTAGTCTTCTAGGAATACATTTGTAATGTAAGGTAAGAGGCATCTGCATTGTAGTAGCTCTTTGTAATCTCATTGTAATCTGCATTGTAATATGTAAAAGATATAGCATATATGATAATTTAGTTTGGACTTTGAACTTATTTATATCAGTATTTTGCTGGTCTGAAACCCTAATAATTTGTCTGAATGAATAATATAAATAGCAAACAGAAATGTATATCATAGATGATTTAATTGATTTGAGGATTTGCTTTTATCTCTTTTATCATGAGTTAGTCATTGAAATATTTTTACTAAGTAGTAGGTTTGTTAGTACCATAAAGATCGACCACGTACTTCTCTCTTCTGATTTTGGGCATCATATACATTGACCTGAGCTGGAGATATTTTGCTTGTTCCTGCATTGAAATATACATTTATCTGTATGGAAACTCTTTAGACAGCTTTGTATACTTTTACCACAGATACGTTTTAAATGGCCAGTGAAAGAAAGTTTGTCCTAAGTGTGACTTTAGTACTTAGTTTTTGTATGTGGTAGTCTAAATAGTAACCTACCTATCTAGACATCTCTTAGGGATTAAGAGAATAATCAGTAGCAGAAAAATTGAAGGTACAATTTATGTACAGCATTGCTGTGATGCTGTAAAACCTTGTAATTGAAGAATTTGCTAGTTTATTCTGAACCTTTCTGTGATACTCTATTATAAGAGGTTTGGAGCTTTACATTAGCTATTTGATTAAAAAGCTATCTGATAGAAGCATAATTCTGACTAGCAGAGCCATTCCAAAGTACTGTCTATAGCCTTACACCCGTCAAGCTGAGAGCAGATTAGATTTTTGTTTTCTAAGGATGGCCATAAGTGGCGTAAGTGGCCTCTAAGGGATAGCTGTTACATGATTAATATCTCATTTAAAGTTTATAAAATAGGCTATATTAACAAGCTATTAAAAGAGATGATCCAGTGGTACTAAGAAGTGAATCTACTAATATACCGTTATACACAGTGAAGTGTCAGCTTGTTAATACAGCCTATTTTGACGAAATTTTCTGATGACTTTAAGTTAAAATGGTATCATAGAATATTATAACTAACAAAATTCACTCTAGATATTGTATGAGTAATATCATCTGGTTGACATAGACATTTGAGGTGTATATATATTAAACTTTTTCCTTGAAAGCTTAAATTTTACTTGAGATGTTTTGAATGATCTGAGTATTGTGGTTTATCTAGTTTAACTAGAAGAGTCTGCTCAAATTGTAAATGGCTGAAATAAAAACTGGCAAAAATCATCATAACAAAAAATGTTTGTGCTATGCAGAACAAGTTTTAATTTTACCAAACCCAACCATGTGTTGTTGTTATACAAATAAGACCTGTATTTAAAAAATAAAAATAAAAAACGTTCTCTAGAAGAATTTTTGACATTCTCTGTATAAAAGTCACATAAATGAAACGAAGATTTTATAGAGAAGTTTGAGGTACTCATACTTTATCAGTAAATCAAAATGTCCTTTTACTTAAAATTTGTTACTGCTTAAATAATTCCACCTTATTTTTTTCATAGTGTCATGATATTTATATCTAAGCTTTTGTGCCGCTAGGTGGAAGTTTCCATAACTCCTGACCATGGATAGCAATTTTATACTGTGGATAATTTGAAGTTGACTGTACTTTTTAAATTTATCTGTTAGGAAAATTTTTGTGGAAACTCTGATTACATATAAAAATGTATCAATTTAGTGCATATCATTTGCAGATTATTTATTAGAACTCAATTGAGAATGATTTTCATTTAATGACTATAAAAAAGGAATTTAATCTGTATTCAAAACTAAGTTCACCCCCTGAAGGTATTAGCACATTATTTAAAATACTTTTTTTTTGTGGCAAACAGAAATGTTTTATACCATATGTAAACTTAAGTTTTTAACTTAAAAATTTTAGACTGATCAGAAGAAGGAAGCTGTTGCTCCTGTGCAAGAAGAATCAGATCTTGAAAAAAAAAGAAGAGAAGCTGAAGCTTTGCTTCAAAGCATGGGGCTAACTCCAGAATCCCCCATTGGTAAGGATAAAAACCTATCCATTTTAAGAAATAGACATATATTCTGTTCAGCTCAGACATAGCTAAGATGAGTGAGTTGACTTGATATATCTTGCGTGTTTTCCTTATTTGTGTCTCTGAAAATCATTAATCATACAATTTATTTGGAATTGTCTTTTTTCAGATGTGCTAGTACATGGTTATTTTATTTTAAGCTGCAAGATTAATTATATTTATTAATATATGCCAAACTACCAATTGCCTTTTCTTGTTAAGTCAATAATTTATTTCAACAAACATTTGTGGAGCAAGTTTTGTAAGACATAATGTGTTAAGCTCAAAGATGACCATGATTCCTGACCTTGACTTTGCATTCCTTTCTGTAGATTACAGAGAGGTATAATGAATCAAAATTATGTTACTAGTATTAAAAGTATATTATATTCAAAGGTATAGGAGTGGGAAGGAGAAGTTTATAGCCTTCTGTTCTCCAAACTAATAAGGCAGATAATATTGGTAGCTTATTTTGGCAGTGACTTGAGTTAGTCTTGTTCTTTTTTTAGATTCTTCATTTTGATAGTTGTACTAAACCAGAAAACTGAAATATACTGAGGATAATCTAGTTACATATCAGAAAGCATTCAGTGCTTCAAAAGTTTTGTGTTGGGTGCTGTTATGTAGTATTTTAGTTTGACATGGGCTTTGCACTTTAGGGACCTAAAATTTCAGAGTTAGTTTGTGGGGTAATTTCATCTAAACCAGGGGATAAATACCAGATATATTAATTGCTCTATGCCTGTTGTGAAAACGCAACATAACTCTCCTTAGAGCTGATATTTCTAAAAGGTTTCAAGATGAAAAAGCTGTTAGGGGCTGGCAGTTAGCTCAATTGGATAGAGTGCAGGTGTTATGACACCAAGGTCAAGGGTTTGTATCCCCATACAGGCCAGTCACCAAAAAAAAAAAAAAAGAAGAAGAAGAAGCTGTTTACTCTCATGATCATGAGCTTTCAGCTCAGTTTTCTTTTCCTTATTGGTAGAATTTAAAGACTGAAGTATATTAACTTTTATGTCTTTATTTAATAAGCTTATGTTGCACATTACAATTTTAAAAGTAAATGAATCAATACTTTTTTCTTGTTACCCTAGTAACTAAATCAAGTTGCTTGTTAGCTGTATAGTCTTTAAGAGAATCATTTTTTCTGTGACATTGGCTTTTGTTTTTCTCTTATAGAATTTTTTTTTCTTTTTTGTCCTTTTTAGGACTTCAGTTTCACTGAATTCACTTGCTCATATTTCTTATTCATTGCCCACCTCCATCACTGATTTGTTCTTTAGTTGTGTGTATGTGTTTCTTGTTCATTCCTTATCACCAATTCCATTCTTTGCACTCATGTATTAAGTACTCACTCTTGCATTTTTAACATACATACATTCTTTTGGTCTATCCTTTATATGTTTGCATTTTTCAAGGTTTCATATATCTATGTGTGTATATATTTTATATACTTAAATGGCATTGTGTTGTATGTCTCAATCTGTTTATTCCATGTTGCTACATGTAAATCTAGTTATTTATTTCTGATGGATGCATAATATTCCATTATGTACCATATTTTAGTTATTTTTCCCCCAGTGCTATGCACTTAGATTGCTTCCATCTCTTTGCTTTACTATCATAAGCAATACTGCAAAGAATCTATTCTTTTCCCTTGAGGACTGTAGAAGAGTTTTTTGGGATGTATGCCCAAGAATTGACTTGCTGTGTTATTGTGTATAGGCTTATTTAAATTTGTTAGGTTCTACATACCACTTTTAAGAATGGCTACAAAAGTTTACCCTCCCATTTCTAGTGCATGAAAGAGTAACTGTTTCACTATATCCATGCTATCCAACTTGCTAATTTTTGCCAACTTGATGGATATAAAGTAGTATGCCAAAATATTTCAATATACATTTGTCTGATTACAGTGAGGTTTACCATCTCTTTATATATCTACTAACCATTCAGTTTTCCCTTCTATAAATTGAATATTCATATCCTTTTGTGCATTTACTGTTGGGGTTCTTTATCTTCTGATTTGTGGGCATTCCTTGTATATTTCATATATTTAAGGGAGGACTTTGTTTTAGTTTTTTTAAAATACATTCTCCTAGTCTGTTTACTGTTAACTGCTTAAAGTATCCTTCGTTGAATAGAAGCCTTCATTTTGAGATGGTCAGATCTACCAATTATAACCCTTTTTTTCATGCTTCTTGATTTTTTTTTTCCTTTTTGTCTTTTTTCGTGACCGGCAATGGATCGCAACCCTCGGTGTTGCGCCCGCATCTCGCTCAGCCAGTGAGCGGCCGGTCTGTATGTGGGATCCGAACCATCGGCGGGAGCGCCGCCACGCTCCCAAGCGGCACACTGTAGCAGTGCGCCACCGGGCCGGCCCCTTGATTTTTTTTTTTTAAATAAATCTTTCCTATATTGAGGATACAAGTATATTCTCCTACACTTTTTTCTATTAGTTTCATCCTTCACATTTAGATATTTGGGTTATATTTTTTAAAATAGTGTGAGGTAGGGATCCAACCTAAATTTTCTCCATATAGTTAGCTAATTTTTTTGATAGTATTTATTTATTTATTTATTTTTAAAAAATTTTTTTCATTAAATTTTTATTTTGTCAATATACAATGTATATGATTATTATGGCC